TTTTATTATTATATTAATTTATTTATTTTATAAAATGAACTCTAAATGAAAATTAATTATCGATTTAATTATCTATTATAAATTTATATTAAGTAAAAATGTTAAAATATTTTTTTTTTAGCATTATTAACAGAGATGGAAAATCCAGTTCCCCTTCTGGAACTGGAACTGAGTGCGGAACTAGTTTAATTAATGAACCAGATCAGTGATTGAAAATTTTTTTACTTTGCCAAAATCGCCAAATCGATAATGCAAAATTATTTCTAACTGCCAACCAAAACTTTTGGAAGAATAATACTATTTGGTTTCGTTTTATTGAAATAACATTTACAAATACAATACAGTCCCTGTAATCCGACATATGTCTCACCGGCGGGTGTTGGATTACTGGATTTTTGTATGTATGTAGTAAAATAACGCACTTGGTGCACGGATTAGTTTATCTTATTAAATACGATTGTGATTATTTTGCCAACCGCACATTCAAAAAAAATTAACGATTGACAGTAACACAAAAATTTCATGTACAGTACACAGACCTGTCGGATTACAGCATGTTCCGTTCTGGTGGCGATTGATTATAAAGACTCTAACGTAATAAAAATTCCATATACTGTATATATAAACTTTATAAAACCGATAAATTTCATACAAAACATGAAAAAATGTACAAAAAGTATTTATTTTTAATGTGAGCCCTACTTGCATTTGGCACGCGAATTCCTCGGAACTGCTATATTCTTTCGGAATTCCTTAAATTGTTGGACTAGACGTTTCCTCGCAGCCTAAAAACTTGTGGAACATTTCCATTTAGTTTAAATTCAAATCCAAATAAACAGTTCATTGTGAAAATTTTGCACGTAGGTTTATGTATTACGGGAATTGAAGCTATTAAATCTTGGGGGTTAATTGTCGATGGGGTGGGAGATAATGGGAGTCGTGTGTAACTCCATTAAGGTCGGATTAATAACGATTTTACTAATTATTACCATTTACAATTTTTTTATAAAACCCATCCCTATCCTCAAAATTAAGTTTTCTTTATCATTTTATAATAAATAAAAATATAAAATTATCTAAATAAAATATCATAACAGATGGCACCACATATAATTTTAACTTTTTTGTTAGAAAAGTTAAGCAACTAGTTGCTGGAATTTTAAAAATAATGATCACAAAATCTTTCAAGAAACAAACTCATATGTTCAATTTTTTTTTTCATTTTTCCTCTATTTTGACTCCATTTTTATTGTGTTTCATAATAACATTTTTTTAAAAAATGCATGATTTTTTAAGCGAATACACAACCATTAAAAAATTCATATAAATAATGTATGAATTATTGATTTATCGATTATTGATTTATCGATAAATTAAACGTAAAATAAAACCTTTATAGTTTGCATATTGTTATCTAGCAATTCAATCAATGAATCTAGTTAATTTTATAATCATTTAATTAAGAAACATGAGCTCGAATGTACAAGTTTGTTTGAGCTGTTTTCTTAGCCCTTGTTGGAGAACGGCACTCGTTTTTGGTTTGAATCCAGTTAAAATTTGCAAATGTCAAAGCAGAATATTCAAAAATAAGAAATTAATGAATATATGTATTCAGTTAATCGAATTATTTTTATGGGAATTCACGATTCTTCTCCTATGGCAGATGATTCCATGGATAAATGAATACGCAATGTGCGTGAGATGGTATAATATATTCAAAATTGATCTGGCGTTGTTTAAAATAATATTTTTTGTTCTATTTCTATTTTATTCAATTGGATTTACATTCTTCAAAAAAACAAAATTCGATTTGAGAAAGAAATTAAGAAATCCATACTTTTACAAGAAGATGATCTACGAAAAGAATGGCTTAATTAGAAATGTCACTCTACTCAATTATTTAATTATGTTGATATGCATTGTCGTATGTCAAATTTTCTTCTTCCAGTTTGCGTATCCGGCTTTACAAAGAAAACAGAAATTTATTGGGGAAGCTGTTCTGTGCAGCATTCAACAATGTATCGGATCGTCTCTTCTCATAGGTGGAATCGGATTTCTCTTACTTCTGGGAGCATTATTAATGTTTATCTCTCATAAAGAATTCGAGCAACTCTCTACTGAACTTTCTGCAATAAAGAGAAACGACACTCGTTTACTAAGAAAAATAAATACGTTAATGCTGCATCATGAACAACTTTGGATTTTCGTGGATCAGCTGAATATCAAATTTAATTTTATTTTTGGAGTAATCTATTTCGCAATTCTTTGGGGAACAAGTATTTCTTACTACATACTTTTGTTTGTAGAAATAAATGAATTTGTAAAATACTTGTCACTAGCATTAACGATACTAAGCACATTTATTTGCATTATATGCGGCTGTCTGCTATGCTCTTTGGCATTCGTGGTAATTATATCGTATTTGTACTTACTTTTTACTTCGTACTCTCTTACTATTCTTCTCATTTCAGATGCAGAATACATTTCAAGACATCAGACAATTTTCTGGATGCACCATTGGACAGAAACAAAAATTAAAGGTATGTAACTTCCATAATCAATCTTAAAAATTTTTATTCACATTTGTTCTCATCCAATTTGTGAGCATCTTAAAACGATCTTTTAAGCATGCCTCTCGTAAATTCGTTCACGCCCACGGTAGAGTGGCCGAATGGTAAGAAACAAATCCGTTATAACCGATTAACCCATCCATTAAATTTTCGAACCGAGGTACACTCGACCTCGAAGAGCACTCGGGTTCGAGTCTGTCTTGTCTTAGAAAGGCTCTATCTCTGACAATCCACGACAAGCCTGAACAAAAATACTTTCATAGTGTCCTCCGAGCGGAAAATCAAAAAATAGGAAAATTCATTTAATTTTAATTCTCATCTTTGCAGATTCTTAGTTTTATGAAAAGATTCGGAAAAGTAAGTTTAAGTCTTTCGATAGGAGGATTCTTGATCATCGATAAGAAGATCCCTTTTAAGGTTTGGTTATTTATGTTGTTATGTGAAGATAATTTGCTTAATCATAAATATGTAATAATTTAACTAAATTCTTCATTTCAGATGGCAAGTACATTACATTCCATTTTTTCCGGTTTCTTAAAACTGAAAAACGCTTCAAATCGAAACCAGAAATGTCATCGAATTTACGATGAAAATTCCACACAATTCATTTAAAACGTTTTCTATGTGAAATTGCTGCAAAATGACTTCAAACATTCTTTAGTTTCTCGTGTTTTATACAATTGCCACAAAGAAAAAATTTTTTCTTTTGAAATATTTTATTTTCTTAATTTTGGAATACTGGGTATGGATTGCTTTTCTCTCCAAATAATTATAAATTAGCAAGAAACCGTCGAAATCGATGGTTTTATTAAATTAAAATACAATCAATGAAGTCTTAAAATTTGGCTTTCTACCCAAAAATCATCAGTGCAGCAAGCGTTTTCCGGATTTGTCCACGGATGATTCGCATCTACCCGTCCTCTGGTAGCACGTGGCTTCTTTCAACTTTGCTTCTGGGTCCCAGGATGACAATTTAACATTCTTAAGGCTGACAAATTTCGACTGGCAGGGCTCGAGATTACATTGCGATAGTTGATACATTGTGCCCTTCTACAAACTTTCAGCAAACGTTTAAGAAATGTACACACTGCCATATGGAAAGATAAGATTTGGAGAAGTGTACAATATTTTCGATAATTTTTGGTTGCATTGGATCAGTCCGGATTTTGGAGAATCAAACTGAAAGATGTGGAATTTTGACATTTTGAAAAAAAAAATATTCAATTATCGACAATTAACAATGATTCTAGTTCAGACTTGTAGGTAATCATCATTACTATCAATTACACGCCATCTTTGATGCAAACTTTGACCCCGTGAGCATAGAATGATTAGGGATTTACTTTGAGGGGTGTCGAGCATCGGCTATTGTCATCGAATTGTATATTGGCAATTAGGTTCTGCAAGGCACGAAATAAATGTTAATCAGTTGGCACCAAGTCAGGGCTGTAAGATGGATGAGGTAGAACAGGGGTGGCCAAAACGTGGCGCATTGGACGATTACAAGTGGCGCTTCAGTTAGTTCTGAGCAAAATTGCCAGATTTGGCTTTTTTGCGATTAAGAATATTATATAGAAAAATAAATTTTTATAGTCTGTCTTGGCAAGTTCATTTATTGCACAATTTGTTACGGTCTATTTTGCAGATAAAATGAGTATTCTCCACATAGTAAATTACAATGTATGCATGTATTTTGAGTCGTGCGATCTTTATTTCCGATCAGTTTACAGGTTTGTAAATGGCAGAAAACATTTACTGTGATTAAAGTTATTCCAAGCTGATCTCGTTTTCAGTGCCAATAATTGTGGTGCAGAGTAATCTTCACCAAACGAGACTCTGGCAGCAATAGCACCATCATGAAGCAATCACCCTCTCGTACAGGAGATCATTGTTGACTATTGTAAATTGGTGCTTCAATAAACTGTCATAAATTAATTAATTCAACTGCGTGATTAAGTNATCTCTCAAATTTGGAGAATGGATTATTGTAATAAAAATAATTGATCAATTATATTATTATCTTTCATTTCAATTAATCGATTGATCAATTACTTTTATTACAATAATCCATTCTCCAAATTTGAGAAATAATGATATTATGTAACTAGCATCTCTTAGTTACAATTTCTTTATTCATAGACTGGTACAACAGAAACATGGAATCGAATTTACAAGAGGAAATTTGTCTGAGCTGTTTCCTTAGTCCTTATTGGAGAATGGCACTCGTCTTTGGTTTGAATCCAGTTGAAATTTGCAAATGCCAAAGCAGAATATTCAAAAATAAGAAATTAATGAATATATGTATTCAGTTAATCGAATTATTTTTATGGGAATTCACGATTCTTCTCCTATGGCAGATGATTCCACGGATAAATGAATACGCAATGTGCGCGAGATGGTATAATATATTCAAAATTGATCTGACGTTGTTTAAAATAACATTTTTTGTTCTATTTCTATTTTATTCAACTGGATTTACATTCATCAGAAACACAAAATTCGATTTGAGAAAGAAATTGAGAAATCCATACTTTTACACGAAGATGATTTACGAAAATAATGACTTAATCAGAAATGTCACACTACTCGTTTGTTTAATTATATTGGTATGTATTGTCTTATGTCAAATTTTATTCTTGCTGTTTTCGTTTCCGGCTTTACAAAGAAAGCAGAAATTTATTGGGGAAGCTGTTCTGTGCAGCATTCAACAATGCATCGGATCGTCTCTTCTCATAGGTGGAATCGGACTTTTCTTATTTCTGGGAGCATTATTAATGTTTATCTCTCATAAAGAATTCGAGCAACTCTCTACTGAACTTTCTGCAATAAAGAGAAACGACACTCGTTTACTAAGAAAAATAAATACGTTAATGCTGCATCATGAACAACTTTGGATTTTCGTGGATCAGCTGAATATCAAATTTAATTTTATTTTTGGTGCAACCTATTTCTTTATCCTCTGGGGAACAAGTATTTCTTATTACATGCTTTTGTTTGTAGAAATAAATGAATTTGTAAAATACTTGTCACTAGCATTAACGATACTAAGCACATTTATTTGCATTATATGCGGCTGTCTGCTATGCTCTTTGGCATTCGTGGTAATTATATCGTATTTGTACTTATTTTTCTTCCGTACTCTCTTACTATTCTTCTTATTTCAGATGCAGAATACATTTCAAGACATCAGGCAATTTTCTGGATGCACCATTGGAAAGAATCAAAAATTAAAGGTATGTAACTTCCATAATCAGTCTTAAACATTTGTTTTCACATTTGTTCTCATCCATTTTGTGAGCATCTTAGAACGATCTTATAAGCATGCCTCTCGTGGATTCGTCCAGGTCCACGTTAGAGTGGCCGAATGGTGAGAAAAAAACCCGTTATAACCAAATAACCCATCTATTAAATTTTCAAACCGAAGCAGACTCGATTTCGAAAACCAAAGCAGATCACCCGGGATCGAGTCTGTCTTGTCTTAGAAAGGCTCTATCTCTGACAATCCACGATAGGCCTGCAAAAAATGCTTTCGTAGTGTCCTCAAAGCGGAAAACCAAAAAAATAGGAAAATTCATTTAATTTTAATTTCTCATCTTTGTAGATTCTCAATTTTATGAAAAGATTCGGAAAAGTAAGTTTAAGTCTTTCGATAGGAGGATTCTTGATCATCGATAAGAAGATCCCTTTTAAGGTTTGATTATTTATGTTATGTGAAGTTAATTTGTTTAATTGTTATAAAAAATATGTGATAATTAACTAAATTCTTCATTTCAGATGGCAAGTACATTACATTCCATTTTTTCCGGTCTCTTAAAATTGAAAAACGCTTCAAATCGAAACCAGAAATGTCACCGAATTTACGACGGAAATTCCACATAATTCATTTAAAATGTTTTCTATGTCAAATTACTACAAAATGACTTCAAACGTTCTTTAGTTTCTCGTGTTTTATACAACTGTCAATAAGAAACGTTTTTCTGTTCAATAAACTGTTTTTCCTTCTGGAATATTTTATTTTCTTAATTCTGGAATACAAAGTATGAATTGCTTTTCTCTCTAAATAATTATAAATTAGCAAGAAACCGTCGAAATCGATGGTTTTATTAAATTAAAATACAATCAATGAGATCTTAAAATTTGGCTTTCTACCCAAAAATCGTCAGTGCAGCAAGCGTTTTCCGGATTTGTCCACGGATGATTTCCATCTACCCGTCCTCCGATACCACGTGGCTTCTTTCAACTTTGCTTCTTGGTCCCAGGATGACAATTTAACATTCTTAAGGCTGGCAAATTTCGACTGGCAGGGCTCGGGATTACATTGCGATAGTTGATACATTGTGTTCTTCTACAAACTTTCAGCAAACGTTTAAAAAATGTACACACTGCCATATGGAAAGATAAGATTTGGAGAAATGTACACTATTTTCGACAATTTTGGTTGCCTTTGATCTGTCTGGATTTTGGAGAATCAAACTGAAAGATGTGGCATTTTGACATCTTGAAAAAAAAATAATTATCGAAAATTAACTCAACAATGATTACAGTTCAGTCTTGTAGGTAATCATCATCACTATCAATCACACGCCATCTTTGATGCAAACTTTGACCCCGTGAGCATAGAATGACTAGGGATTTATTTTGAGGGGTGTCGAGCATCGGCTATTGTCATCGAATTGCATATTGGCAATTAGGTTCTGCAGGGAGAGAAATAAATATCAGTCAGTTGGCGGTAAGATAAATCAGTTAGAATCTCCCAGCCCATATTTACCAGCTTCTCTAATGTCGTCTGTGTAATGGCGCGTTGTCGTGGTGGTCTAAATTTCACCTCTACCCTCTGATTTCGATACCCGCTAGGGCAGTTTCAAATGATTTCACATCTATAATTTGCATTCAAACAAGATTTAAATCTCATTTAATAATGTAAATCAGCAAGATATTTATTTAATTAATTCGGTCTGTCACTAGAAAAGCTGTACTAGCGTCGAGAGTTTCGAGAAAAATAAACTCTAAATTATTTTGTAATAAAGTATTATCATCATCATTNTAGCACCATCATGAAGCAATCACCCTCTCGTACAGGAGATCATTGTTGACTATTGTAAATCGGTGCTTCAATAAACTGTCATAAATTAATTAATTCAACTGCATGATTAAGTTATTCCCTTTTCTTTCGTAAGCGAAGCAGATTTATTCTTCTTTCTATTTATCAACCCCTAACATTCAATGTAAGACTATAAAAAGTGTTCGAGTTATATGGCGCATTTGAACTCTTGTCAAAAAATTGGCGCATGGTATGCAAAAGGTTGGCCACCCGAGGTAGAACCTGCCAGGCAATATTGGCAAGCTTCTCTAAAGTCGTCTGTGTAATGGCGCGTTATCGTGGTGGTTTAAATTTCACCTCTACCCTCTGATTTCGATACCCGCGAGGGCAGTTTCAAATGATTTCCCGTCTATAATTTGCATTCAAACCAGATTTAAATCTCATTTAATAATGTAAATCAGCAAGATATTTATTTAATTAAATCGGTCTGTCACTAGAAAAGCTGTACTAGCGTCGAGAGTTTCGAGAAAAATAAACTCCGAATTACTTTGTAATAACGTATTATTAACATCATTAATTCTATTATTATTTACTCATTATTTCTTAACAAAATATAATTTAATTATCGACAAATAATTTATTAAAAATTGCCATTGTTCGAAAAAACGAAATTCGAACGAATTCAAATTCTTCTTCTCGAATTCAAATAGTGTCAGAAAATCGTTATTTTTTGGGTGTAGCAACGAAGTTTTGTGACAATGACGTCAGAAACATTGCCCGAGATTACCCAGTGGGGTTATTTAAAAACAGAAAACTGGTGTTACGTCGGCATAGACACTCTCCAGGAGCAAACTCTGAAGAAATCCCTGAAGAGAGGATACGAATTCAACATTCTTGTCGTCGGCAGATCGGGTTTGGGCAAGTCTACGTTGCTTAACACACTTTTTAAAGCATTTGTTAGCCGTAAAAGCTGTTCGAAAGACGAGAGAGATATAGGAGTCGACGGGTATCGCAAAACTACAGAAATTAAATCGGTCACCCATCTTCTGGAAGAGAAAGGTGTGAAGTTACGCCTCACTATTACCGATACACCGGGTTTCGGTGATAATATAAATAACGAAAACTGCTGGCTCCCTATAGAAGAATACATATACGAACAATACGAGAAGTATTTGGAAGAAGAGGAATGCACAGATCGTAAGAAGTTCATAAAAGATACAAGGGTTCATTGCTGCGTGTACTTCATCTCTCCGTCTGGTCGCTGGTTGACCCCTCTGGATATAGAATTCATGAAGAGACTGGGAAAAATCGTCAACCTCGTCCCCGTCATAGCAAAGAGCGACACCATGACAGTAGACGAAAGACTAGCCTTCAAGCGAGTTATCAGAAATTGTTTAGAAGAAAACGGAATCGCTGTTTACCCCATGAAAGAGATCGAAGAAAATCCAGACGATCAGATTCTGAACGATAAAATAAGATCTAAAATACCTTTTACCGTAGTGGGGAGCGAGCAGCAGCACGAAGTCGGTGGTAAGAAACTCTACGGCCGGATGACTCGTTGGGGCTTCGTGGACATCGAAAATAAAGAGCATTGTGAATATTCGGACTTCAGAGACATGTTGGTAAAGACTCATATGATCGATATGATCGAAGTTACGAGATCATACTTTTATGAACGATTTCGTCGCAACACCCTTAACGCCAGGAAAACGAAAGAATTGGACGGACAACACGCAGAAGAGAAGAAAACTTTGGATCGGAATCTTAGCGAAAAACCAAGTTATTTTAGTAAGAAATTGATTCGAACGAGCACCGATAAGGGCATCGAACTTGATCAGATGAGATCACTCCGTGGAAGCGATTCTATTGCATATGTTAAAAAACAAGAAAGCATCGCTAAACAACCAGAAGCCACGGAATCTTTAATTAAAGAATCGACCGTCAACGCTACTGCTTCGAAAATTGCAAGCAAAGTTTCTGAAAACGTGATCGATGCAGCCAAAAAACCTGCTGAAGAGGGAACTTCTGAGGATTATGAGTTTTGAACATTTCAAAACTTCCAATAATCTCTTCAGGAATAAAAATAATATAGTTTGAAGTTTTATATAAAGTTTATTTTTTTAATTTTTCAACGACAATATTTAACTTTTCAAAATTGCTAATTGTCTGTCTTAAATTTCGCTATTTATGAAGAAATAATATTTCAAATAAATTCAAAATTTATTTATTGAACAATAAATTACTTTAAAAAATTCTAATAATATTTTCTACTTTTAAATTGAAATTTTATGTTGTTAGAATAATCTAAAAATCAAACGGGGATAATTACATTAGTCTCAGAAACTTTAGTATTGTATTTATGGTAGAGAGGCCCCTCTGGAAGGGTTGCTTCGCGAGAGTATTTTTGTAGGAAATTAGTCTTTATTTAGATATTACACAAGAAAACCATTAAACGCAATGTTTTTTCTTGCCAATTTAATTAATTTTAAATGGAGAAAACGAAAGGTTATCACCAAAGACGAGGGTTCAATAACCCGAACCCTCGTCTTTAGTACGATGGTCTAATGATATTTCAAAATTAAATAATAATTCTTTATTATAAAAACATTTTTCTTCGGGTAAACTTCATGTTTATTAGCATACTTATAAGTTATGTATATAATTATAATTATCTGAACAATGTAATTATTTTAATAGTAACGTACAAAGAATATGCATTGGAAGGATTTTGATGCAAACAAAAATCTATAATCATATTTGTGGAAAATGTGCATAGGAAGCATATCTACAATGAGACTAGGAGGGAAGAAGGTGACCGGTGTACAGTAAGCAGTANAAAAAAAAAAAAAAAAAAAAAAAAAAAAAAAAAAAAAAAAAAAAAAAAAAAAAAAAAAAAAAAAAGAGAGAAACGAACAGACTGCCTCTTATTGGACAACCAGATCTCGTTGATGTAAGTGGCAGTGGCATTCTCGCACTTGAGTTGACACCATCAACTCCAACTTTTACTGTTTTCTCATGCAAAAATGAATGAGTGAGGCAACTCACAGCATATGACTTTGACTTTAGTTATGACTTTGCCAGATTGAGCCAAAGCCTTGCATACCACCTGTCATTTATCAACATACCAGCATTGGTACACTTGTACACTTACCACAGTTTGAAAAACACTGCTCTATACAACTTGCAATGAAATACTAATATCATTGGGTATGTTGGGTGTCAGACCCAAATGCAATTTTGAGCTTTAAAAAATAAAAGAAAACTCAAGAAAATTAATACAGAATGCTTAATCTATTACTTTAAGGTAGACAAGCAGGCAGAGCTCTAAATATAATTGATTAATTTAAAAATTAAAAACACAAAAAGTGTCGCGTCTCAAACACCCGACATTGCTACTGGCTTAAAGAACTATCATACATTCTGTGAATTATTTTTGTTATTCTATACCAGGGGTCGGCAACCTGCGGCTCTTTGGATGTGAAGCTGTGGCTCTTTAGTTCCATACGCAAATATTATTTATTTTATTAAAAAAAAAAGTTTAAAAAACATTTATTGGGAGGATTTTGATGCAAACAAAAATCTATAATCATATTTGTGGAAAATGTGCATAGGAAGCATATCTACAATGAGACTAGGAGGGAAGAAGGTGACCGGTGTACAGTAAGCAGTATTGCAAACTTTTTCAAGTTACAATGCCACATGTATAGCTCAGCCTCAGCCGCACACCCGTGTTTCAAAATTATTCGTTCATTCGAATTCAATGGCGGAAATTGTAATTGAAGCAGGCTTTTATAAATCCTCGTTTGTTTTCTAAATTAATAGAAGGTTTATTCTATATATATATTTCTTTTTTCATTCAGTTGGAAATTCCTTTTTATTTTCGAAATAAAGGACATTCGGCATCTTTTCTAAACAAAAAAGGTCAGGAGAGCTGAATAAAGGACATTTGACAACCCGAACCGTAGACAATTCGAATTTGTATATTCTAAACGATTCAAAATTTAAAATAAAACTGAATCTACGACACGTATTGCCAGTACCGGCCCGAGGCAAGTTTTAGGATGGAGCGAAATCCTATTATGGCGGCTCCCTTCGTTGCCCCTAATTTATACCCTTTAATTTTCTTTATCACTGAGGCGCCCCCTAGGACTTAGCGCCTGGAGCGGCTGCTCCGTTTGCCCTATGGTAGGGCCGGCTCTACGTATTGCATTAATTGTTGTTTATTAAAATTGATTTAGCTACTCTAACAATAAAAAAAATGGCTCCGTAAAGAGCCGTTTAGTTACAAGATTACAAGAATTTAGCAACTCTATTTCCATTTATCTGGGTCATTCTTCAAGATTATCGTTCTATCGATGCTCCATTTCCTTTCTGCTGCGACTTTTACTAGAACCTGGATCTTCCTGTATTTTTACTCAATATTCTAAGAAAACGTAGAGGAAGCAGAAGATCATTTCGTATCTTTCTGATTAAAGAATGTCTTCAATGAAACGTCTTCTAACTCAGCAGCATTTTCAGATTCTGATTCGATTTTTTCACCTGAGAGGAATCATCTAGTAGAGGAGCTAAGATGGCGTTCTTTTACCTTTCTAGGTGATTTCATAACTTTCTTATTCGGAATAAGAGACAAAATAACAAAATTCGAACGAGATTTAAAGAAACGATTCTGTATTACGTCAATCGAATTCCTAAATTCAAATTTTTTAAACGTAATTACAAATTGTTTTCCTCCTTCAAGAGGCTTATAATTCCATTATTTTAAATGTTTACCGCAGCAGGTTCATTGAAACATTATTCCTAACTTTATAATTGAACTTAATACAAAATTTAAGGCAATTTCCCCAAACGATTAAAATCTACTAAAAAATTTTGTAAATGTAACCAAAAAAACCCTTGGCAAATTGCCATTACCTCTTTCCGCACTGTGGGCACTAAGAGGGCCTCTTTTAGCAAGTCCATTATGGGTTCGGCCAGGTCCACAATGGGT